GCTGGAGAAGGAGCAAATATATAAATTGAAGCAAAAAACCAAAAAAAAAAAAAAAAAAAAAAAAAAAAAAAAAAAAAAAGGAAATATACAACAGGGTTTAATTTCTGTAATTTTACCTTGCCATTTTTTGTTCAAAAGAAAACCAAAACGACATTTATGTGGTATTATTTAAAAAAAAACCCACTAGTTGTATATTTGACAGCTTGGGCATTGCTTTCCTATGCAACTCCAATCGATTCTCATCAACCTTTGGTGATCCGTCTGGGCTTCCTCCCGTCGATTTGCATTCCTCCGGTAGAATCTCTACGGGGCCAATCAGCGAACAGAAGACGTTGTGAACGATGACATTGATCTTCTGCACCGTTTTAGAGTTTTAGTTTTAGCAATGGAGGAGGAGGAAGTGAACAAACTCGTTCAGTCCAAGTATTGGATTAACATCAACAGCTGCTTTGCTTAGCTTGGAGCTTTTCTCTGCGCAGTGGAGGATGGTTGTTTGTACCAGGCTGTATATTCGACCATAAATGGCTACACCATTTCCTATTGGACGCAAAATTCTTTGTTGAATGAAGATCGCTTTAAATCCTAATTTGTCAAGATTATTTTTGGCTTAATTGTGAATGTGTCAGCTGTTTGTTTGGCGCGACAGTTTTACAGCAGCCTAAAGAAGTGTTACATCACAAACCTCCATTTTTAAAATATCCCATCCACTCACACTCACACAAACACACACACACGCACAGCTTAAGGGTTTTAGGAGCAATGCTTTCATCTCGTGTATCTTTGGGCCCTTCCATTTCCCATTACGCCGGGGGGGTGGAGGGCTGTGCGGTAATGGAGAGCTGAATTGGGAGCTCCGACTCTTCATGGCTTCTTTTCTTTCAAAACAAAAGATTATTCAATTAATGTGTGAAATACACATTTTCCCCTTTGCTGACCCTCGGAGGAGATCGGAGGATCAAAGACAACTTTGTCTTTTATAGGCCGGTGCGGCTGAAGTCTGATTCATACCAACTCCTGGGTTTACTGGGGGTCACTTGCAGGTCAGAAGACGACACACAGAGATCTGAGCAGCGATAATTGTGGAGGGAAGGAATATTGCACTAAGAGAAGTACTGGCTTTTCTTTTTGCATGAGAACAATGTGATAAATCTTAGCTGCATGGAGATTAATTATGACAATGAATTACTACATTGCACTTTAGCAGCCTGAAGGAAGCTGGACATGATTTGTAAGACGTAGGTAATTTATTTGACACTTTTAAGCAACTGGAGGATAGTAAAGATATTATTAAGGCAGATAGGTATCCAGTTTTTGCATGGCTGTAGTAGATGGTTTTAAGAAAACAAAAGTTAGATTAGCATGCTTTGGGAAGAAACGCTGCATGAGTAATTCATTGTCGAACAGAAGAAAACTTAAAAATGAACTGGTGACTGAATTTCAGAGATATTCCAGTCACAGAATCAGAGAAAACTTCCAATTATGCATGAAGAAGTTTACATACCAAGTTAATTCAGACATAATACTTGGTGAAGACGTAAAAACAACTGTTTGGAGATGTAATATTGTTAGCCTAGAAAATATCTTTACATTTTTGTTTACCAATAAGTTTGAATCACATTCCAACTGAAACAACAGATTATTGTCCTTTAGGTCTAAAAGAAAAGGATCAGATTTGTAGCTGTGTTTCCATTACTAACGCGTGCAAAACTTTGTCGATATTCCGTTAATGTAAAAAAAAACAAAACACAATTTTGCAACTGCGGTGTCGCCATTAAATAACACAATTAAAATCACACGCGAATAAGTTTAATGCAATAAGTTATTAAAAAACATGCTTCATCATTTTCCTCCTATCTCCTGTTTTCGTCTTCTTTTATGTGGCAACATCCAGTTGTCGATCATGTGAGTTGGGCGATGTGAAAAAAAAAATTTCCACTGCAGTTTTGCGAAATAAACCAATCTCAATTGTGCCAGAACCTTTCATCAAAAAACAAGTTTTGTTTTTTTGTTTTTTTCCCCCCAAATTTGGCTCATTAACATGAAGCAAATTGATTTTCAAATGTCGAATTGTGCAACTGAAACGCAGCTGATATAGAAGACTAATAAGAAGTACAACTATTGCCAACAGCCTAAGGAAAACCTTGCAGGAATGAAAAAAAAAAAGCTTGGCCTCTGACACACGAGTAGGACTCAAGAGAACCCGCTTATTCTTTGGACTGTTGTGTCTCAGCGATGCTTTGCCAGCTGGACTGGTCTTAGAGCGGTTTTTTTTATATGCAACAGGTTTTATGGCTGAAAACATGCGGTTTCGTATGTTGTCATTGGCGTAACGCCGTGTTATCCTAAGTTGTGTATTCATGTGCCGGTCGGACTTTGAATAATATATTCTCCTTTTAGGCGTTTTCAACAGGGATCTTTAAAATTATTTTAAATCGTGGGGGGGGAAAGACACACACACACACACAAAGTATTTGTGATATGCATGTGTGATTAGGCTCTGCCTGAAGAGAAACCTAAATACGAGGTCAACACTGGATCCTTACCATCGCACCATCAGGCCGTGCTCCAGAAAGTTCTTCAGGTTGGGAAGCGTCTGCTGCAGGTCCGGGGTGGTCAAACCATGCTGATATCTCAGCTGCAACACAAGGGAACAAAACATCATCATTAATGTAAAGCAACACGCTACACCCATTAGGGCCACACATATAGCACGCGGTCACCGCTCTCACGCACGAGCCTGGCATGTTAGGCGAAGAGCGCGAGAGAAAGAGAGAGAGAGAGAGGGGAAAAAAAAACCCAAAACATCCCTTACAGAAAACGTCTGAAGTCTACATTCTTCCACCATGACCTGTTCCTATTCTCTCTTTCAGGCTATTACTCATCTGGACACACAATGGGCACCTTCTGCTGATAGCGGGCATGTGTGATAACAAGCAAGGTGCGCTGAAAGACAGGAGATGAGGTGGGGGCGGCAAGAAAAACACTTCTGATAAAACATCTGGATGAAAAGGGCGCAAAGAGCACATTATGGACCTCATTAGGTTGTTCAGCAGCCTCTCCCCCCTCCACTTTCTAATTCTGGCCTTGAACAGTTCCTCCTGCTTTTATTTTATGATGATAGAATCTAATCCAGTAAAAAAAGAGGAGAGCGAGGCCACCTCGAAGCGCCAGATGCATCTAGGAGTGATGTCACAGGAATGCCAGCCGGCGATCATCGCAGGGAGTTTATTTAGCCTACATCCCTGGACGCCGTCCACCGTACATCTCCGAGGCCCCGCCGTCACACGGGCCGCCTCGGCACCCATCTGACATCTGTTTTGTTTCCGCTTGGCTACCACGGCAACCACACTCTCTTTTTCTTTTTCTCCCCCCCACACACACACACACACTTCTGGTGCCGAGATGAATTGCACGCGACTCCCACAGCCCAATAAGTCAGGATAACGGGCTGCGTTGTCATACAGGGAGCATAATGGATGACTGACTTAATAATAAGAAATTAAAGGGAAATAGAAGCTCGGCCGGGGTCACCGGTCCTTGTTAAGAGGGGATTGTTTCACACTTAATCAGGAGAAAAATGGTTCTGAGGACGTCAGCAGCCCCTAACGCACATTGATAATGTGAATTTTTTTTTTCTTTGACTATGTCATATATCAAAACCTCAAAGAAGTTGGAGATCTTTGTTTTTCTTCATAATTGGAAAGTATTAGGTACAACACAAGTTGATTTTACATCGTTTTGTAGCTTTACAACAGTAAAGAAGTGACAGAACCAACACATTTATTGTTAAATAGAAAATTCAAAACTTCCAAATGTTTAGTACTATATATAAAAAAATGATGCCAAATCATCACAGGTTCTAGTTTTGAAGAAAAACCTTTGATAATAACGAGAGCGCCTCTTCCCCTATGACTGCAGGAGACAGACATCAGCCTCCTGCAGACCCAGCATGAACTGAACTGGTTTAGAAAAATGAAAGACGGATGTATTACGCATTGGAAGAGGTTAAAAGGTAAATGTTTAAGATCCTAGCCAGAAAGATCACACTTCAAATTTGCACACATCAAACTAGCTAAAGCTTTTATACATCTCCCTTGCTTTACAAAATCAATACTTGAAACTAAATTTGTAATTGTATTAGAGAATTGATTTATTTTTTTTAATAAAGCATGTTCCGATCGTGGGACAAGGTCACCTCAAAGCCCAGTCAGTGACAGGAAGGTCCAAAACCCAAACGCCCATCAACACAGAGATCCATTCATTCAGTCAGACCTCACACTCTGGTCGACTTCAGGGCGGAACTGGGTTTGAAACTGAAAGCCAAGATCAATACCGCCACCAGTTTAAAAATAAAACCAATAGCAACACGAGGGAACAGGGATTGCTTTTTCCATTCCTAGATGTAAAAAAAAAAGGAAATTCCAAGTCTTACGAACATCTCAAGGTTCTTGTCTAGAACACAGAAACTATAAATCCTGCATCAGATACGAGTACAAAATAAGTGCTGCACTCTCTGCGAGTACAAACGGTTGTTCCACAAACAGCATTGCTCTCTGCAGGAGCAATATTAAAGCGCTTATCTCTGAATCCCTTTGCGTGGCAGCAGCTCTGAAGTGTGTGTGTGTGTAATGACCACAATGCATGTCTAACAGGAGCCTCATGTCAGAATCGACCCCAGGATGCCTCAGAGTGAGCAGCAGCGGTTCATGACTCTGCATCTGCACGCCTCGCTCTTTTAGCTCATAGCTCTCCTTATGTGTAAAAATGTTGGCCGGACTCCAAAACAAAAAATAGTTATGAGTAAAGGCAGCAGCAAAGAGGCTGACATCACCGTTCTGGTTCGTACGTCTGAGGAGGATGGGACTGATATAGGGTAACAACTAGTTATTGTTTTTAGCAATTGATAATTATGACAAATATGATTTTAAAAAGATGACAATCTGCAAATTTTCCATTGTTTATATTGCAAAATATATTAAAAGATGCAAATAAACAAATCCTCTGGTTCCGTTTGAAATAATAAAATAATCACCATCACTAAAACTTAGCATCATTTGTACCAAAGGAAGCATCTGCTGCTAAAAAATAATACTAACATGTTTCTGCTTTACTTATCAACACAGAGCAGGGCAGATCTATTGATAATTTTGGGGATTAAATGTTTTAAAAAATGGATAGCAAAAGATGTTTAATATAAGGTTTTCTTTACAGAATTTAAACCAGGTGAAGCTAAAAAGCCACTTGATGAGTTGTGGATGCAACATATTGATCTTGAATGCAAAATGCATTTAATTCTGTACAGTTTTGGCTTAAATTACTGCTCTGAGTATGTTGTTCTTTCAGAAAATTGCCTTTTTTTGGAGTCCATTTACTCCAGTTAATAATTAATCAATTACCAAATTTTGTTTATTTCAACAATGTACTAATCCAATCAATTGAAATTTATTTTGAAGCATGAAAATTTTGAGAAAACTCAAGTTTCCCTCTAGAAAGCTTTTGGACTAAGATGAGGTGTTTTTTTGTGTACATGTCAAATGAAATGAAAACAATTTTTTATTTTTTTTTTTGCATCACGAGCCACATGATCAACAGCCGGATGTTACTCCTGGTGAAAAAGACAACAGGAAGCAGCAGAAGGACGATGGCTTTACTCTCGTTTTTGTTTTTTTGTCGTTTTCTTCCCAGACAACGTGCAGCTGATTCCACCAGAGCTCTCACAGCATTGCACCGTTCAGAAAAACTTGAGTTAGTCATTCAAAAATGTTGAATCCATAGCTCTTCTGTAAAATCGCAACTGCAATTTCCCCAAAAAGTCACATGCTTATCCACTCCCAAGAATAAGGGGGTTGTTGCTCCGACACCCGAGTAAAACGCCGACCTCTCCTCTGATTGATGATGAGCGCTCGTGCTATGACTGAAATATTAATATATCTCATGTAAACCTTTGCATCCGTCACTGCCATGACGGATGCAAAGGTTTACATCCGTTAATGATTTTTAACCCTGCCGGAGGGCTACTGGCTTATTCTGTAAACTGAATTATTCACCTGATTTTAATTAAAACTTTTATTTTGTGGAAAAAAACACAATTGCGAAATTGTGCTTTTACAACATTAGCAGAATACTGACAAAGATTTGTGGACATTTGTAATGGAAACCCAGCTTGTGTGTCTGTGTGTTGCTTAAGGCCCTCGTCTTATGGAGGCAATCACAGTGTGCGCCGGCTGTCGAATACGTAAACTTTCCTCCCCTTCGTCTCTGCCCGCCTGAGACAAACAAAAACACCAGTGACCCGGCTAAGTCGCATGGAGGAACGGAGTACGTTGGAGCAGCAGAGGAAGAAAGCGCAAGACGGCTTAATGGCAAAAAGCTGGGCGTCATTTGCAACTGTCAGCGCCTCGAAAGCTTCGACATCGGGATGGAAACAAACAGAAGAGAGGGTGAGGTTTAGATTCTGGTCTGCAAACCCAAACCGTTCCCTGGGAGGATGTCGCAACGTGTTGTAACAGACACTGAATAAGAAGCAGAGCGGTCCGACTCTTCTGCGCACGACAGAACAAAGAAACAATCGGTGTTACTGTGTCAGCAAGAAGACGATGTACGCAACTCAGGACCAGTCGGCTTGAGAGACGGCTTGTCGTTCCCAGTTTCTCCTTCCTAACTCGCCGTGATGATAGCCGGAGTCCTCGCGTACGTGTGTGCGCGCGTGTATGTGTAAGCATGTTTTCAAAACCGTCCACAGGCTTCTTTGTGATAGGGCTAACCAGATCGTTGTGAGAAATTCCCTGGGCCCATTGAGGACAGCTGAAAGGTGAGAGCACCAAGCAGCTGGGGCTGGGGAGGTGCAGTGGGGGGTGAGGGGGGACACCCACTAGAGTTTTATCACATGACACAGTGGAATAAATCCAAGCAGGGTTGCGCGTTCCTGCTCGCACCTTTTTCTCTGCACCTTCAGGTTCAGAGAAAACCGCAGCATGTGTAGCGTGACGTGTGTGGGGGGCAACGTCTAAGGAGGGCAGGACTCTTCGCGAAGACAAAGCCACTCTGCAAAGAATGGGGGATTGTATACAGGTTGAGGCTGCCAATCCGCTGGAGCCATGACCACACAGAAACACACTGAGACCGACTGAGATCCTGAGGGAACCAGTCAGTTTACAGTGCATGCCATCCATCATTTGGCGAAACCTTCCTGCTCGCCCTGAGCCCTGTTCAGAGGCTAAACAAACAGTCTCGCTTATACCGCATATTACAGTTTCCCTGAGTTTGTCAGGGCTAATCACCTTCAGATTAGAGCTCTAATGTGGGCAGGCAGCAGAGAACAGTGAGGCTGATTACCGATGACGAGGTGCCGAGGGGAGGAGGAGGGGTGCAAGGGGAGGCAGGTGACCAAGCCACCTCCCACTTCTCTCTTTTATGGTAGCAGTCCAGGAAATGCGGCTCAGACATCGTTGGGATTCAGAACTTGTAATGTTACAGGAGCTGGAGGAAGTCTGGGACGCAGTCCATGCATCCACAGGTCAAACGTCTTCAAATCAAACTCCAGAAGATCTTGTGCATGTCTGTCCTGCGTGGACGGACAATTATCCTGTGATTTATAGCCGGCGTGCTTTTGTCCATTGGTAAAAATAGAAAGAG